TGTGGCTCAAGGAGAAGGGTGCCGGCCCCATATACCAGGGGTAGTGGGTTCTAGCTACCCCTGGTATATGGGGCCAAAACTACTTAAGTGACAAATAGATTGTCTTTGCCATTTTAGCAGAAAGCAAAAATAGAGGCAGTGTTGTCTAAAAAAGATATATGGAGAGCCTTCTTATCTAATAGGGTGAATTTCTGTGACCAACTCACAGATTATTGAGGTTTTGGAAAATATTACAGCAGCACAAATTCTGCCAGTTCAGACCAAGAGGAACAGAAAGAGTATGAAATGAAAGAACAGGAAACAGGTCGATAAAACTACCCGGATGCAAACATATATTACCATTGTACCATTTGTACCTTTACAAAAGAAGAAGGAAGATAACGCTGAGACACCGAAACGTGGAGATGCGAATCCAGGGAGCAGAGCCATGAAACACGGGATTATTATCAGGCCTTGAATCCAAGTAAGATTTGCCTGAGTAGATTTTAAAATTATTTGCAACTGATGACTATTTTTATTCCTTTTATTAACCTTTTAAGTGAAAATGTCCATAATTGATATCTTATGCCTGTCCCATTATCATATTTGGGAAGTAAGTAATTTGATTCTTGAGTTTCACAGATTCATAGATGGAGACAAATTTTAACTCAGGATTGATGATAGCCAGAACTTTAACCAAATCTGATTTAGGTGAATTAAGCCATGACATTTGGAACTTTTTGTCTGTTGAGTTTCCAGAAGATAATTTTCTGGTAGCATTTGTTTTAGAAGATTGTTTACACATGAAGTAAATCAACTTTTCTTCAAATATAATTAAACTCCAGAGACTTTTCTTATTCCCTAATGTATTTTTGAGTTGATGCTGTATTAAGCTGATGACCTCTGAGGCCAATAAAATCTCATTGTCATAGATATTTTTTTTTGTATGTGTGTGTGCATATATATATATATATATAGTATATAAATATATATGCACTGTGTATAAACATATATATTACACTATAATACTGTATAACACATGTAACATATTTTCCAAATACAATTATAAGTAACATTTAACCTAATAAAAGCAGAATATACATGTGTTTTAGTACCTAGGAAGTATTCACCTAAAAAGACAAATCCTGTCTTATTTTAAAAACCTCAATAAATTTAATAGAATTGAAATTATATAGACTTTGTTCTCTAATTATAATGAAATCAAACTAGAAATCTTAACAGAAAGACAACAGGAAAATCTCCAAATAGTGGAAATTAAACAACATATACATGTAAATAATCTATGGCCAAAGGGATATTCTCAACAAAATACAAATAAGAGAATGCAAGTGAAAATACAATATATCAAAAACTGTAAAATACAGATAAAACATATCAGAGAGGGAAATTTCTACTATACAACACTCAGTTTGAAAAGATGACTTATCTTAAACCAGCAACTTAAGTTCCTGTCTCAAAAAAATTGAGGGGCGGCTGCATTGGCTCAAAGGAGTAGGGCACCGACCCCCTGTACCGGAGGTGGCAGGTTCAAACCCAGCCCGGGCCAAAAGCTGCAAAAAAAAAAAAAAAAAGAGAGAAAGAAAAACAAAATAATTCCAAAAAAATGAAAACAGAAAGGAGACACACACAGAGAGTAATATATATATATATATTCTCTGTATATGTACATATGTATACATATATACATATGAATATATGTATACACATATATATGTCTACAACATACACATACACAGCAAAAATTCATGAAATTTGATAAAGGAAGACTATTAAAAAATCAAACAAAAAGTTAGTTCTTGATCAAAAGAGCAATAATAATGTGAGAAACAATTTCATCCAGCTAGACAGACAAAAAGTGAAAAAAAAGTCACAAATCACTGTCAAAAATGAAATAGAACTCATTCCTACAGATCTTGCAATCATAACAAAGATAATAAGGAAATAGTACAAACAACTCAGTACTTATATGTATAAGAAACAGACCAAGTCCTTGAAAATCACAGACTACAGAAACTCAGCCAAGATGAAATAGATTAGTCCTAAAACCATTAAAGAAATTAACAGGAAGCATTTAGACCCAAATGGTTTCACTGGAAAACTCTTCCAAACATTTGAAGAATCAACACCAATTTTGCACGATCTATTCCAGCATCTTTATCTTTTACGATAAAGAAGGGAAGATTGCCAACTCGTTTTATGAGGTTGTGTACTCTTGTGTGAACACTCTATCATTTCATGCCAAACAAAGAAAAGATGATGCAAAAAGTAATGCTGCCAACACATATCTCTCAGTAACTTACACACAAAAAAATTCTTAATAAAATAGTGACAAACCAAATTCAATGATGTATAAAAAGTATGCAGTATGACCAGTCCATTAATGTAATCCGTCATATCAACACACTAAAAATTGAAACCATATAACAGTATCACTGATGCATGCAAGGCATATGGCTAAATCCAACACACATTTAGAAGGAAAGGTTCTTAGCAAGTTTGTAACAGAGAGCAAATTAACTCACTTTTAGGAAGTATCTAATAGAAGCTTATAGGTAATATCACCCTTAAGAGTGATAGACTAAGGCAATGTTGTTGCTCTTAGCCCTCTTATTCAACATAAGGCCTGGAAATTGTAGCTATGACAATTAGTCAAGAAGAAGAAATTACAACCACCCAGATCAGAGCAGAGGAAATAAAAGCATTTCTATATACAGATGACATCATTGCTTACATGGAAAACTTCAATAGTTCCATTTTTAAAATTCCTCAAAACAAAAAAGGATTTCAGCAAGGTCCCTGGAATCAAATTCAATACACAAATTTCAATCCCATTTACGTATACTGACAATGAACATTGATACACCCTTTAAAACTAATTGCCTGGAAAAGGAGTACTTGATATACAAGGAACAAAAGCTGTGCAGGGTCTATATGTGACGATTACAAAATACTAGTGAAAGAAATCAATAAATCAAAGAATCAGAGTAAATGGAAAGACATATGTTTGTGAATTAGAGACAGCATAGCAAAGATATCAATGCTCCCCAAATTAATCCATAGGTTTGATTTAAATCCTATCAAACATCAACCCAGTTTTTATCGACATAGACAATTTTATTTTAAAATTTATATTGAAAGGCATACACACTGGAAAATCCAAAATGAACCTCAATCTAAGCCTTATATATATAACAATCTTTCAGAAAAAAGAAATCTTCAGGACTACGGGTTTAACAAAGATTTCTCCAACTTGACATCTAAAGCATGTTAATTAAAAGGAAATAATAGTTACTTCTCATCAAAACTAAACATCATTGATCTGCAAAGAGTTTTGTGAAAAGGATGAAAAACAAGTTACAGAATGTGAGAAAATAGTTACAGACCAAAATCTAACAAAATTGAATCTTGAGTTTTCAAAATTCAACAGTTAAAAAAAAAATCGGGCGGCACCTGTGGCTCAAAGGAGTAGAGCACCAGCCCCATATGCCGGAGGTGGCAGGTTCAAAATCAGTCCCAGCCAAAAACTGGGGGAGAAAAAAAAAAAAACCACTTGGAAAATGGCCAACATACAGGAACACACCTTTCACTAGAAGAAATATTCAATACACTCAGCTATCAGGTAAATGCTGGTTAAAATCACAGTGAAGTCCAAACATGTACCCATCAGAACCGATCAGATTTAAAACATAATGACAACAACAAATGCTAGGAAGGAATCATAGGGATCACTTCTACTTTAGGGAAATGTGAAATGATATAGCTACTTAAAAAAATAAAATCTTGTCATTTTTTAAAGCTAAATGTGCAATTGCATTCCTGGGCCTTTATGGCAGAGAAATAAGAACACATTCACACAAAAACTTGGACACAATATTCACCACAGCTCTATTTGTAATAGCCAAAAGCTAACTCCCAGATGCTCTTGAACAAAAGAATGGATAAATGGGTCCTTATACATAAACACACCCGCACCAATGTGGGGGGAAATCAGATTAGGATGGTGGATTCTATCCTAATGTCAATATCCTGCTAGTGGTGTTATTCTTTCCTGCAGCAGTGCAGCAAAACTGCTACCCTTGTAGCGTTTTGTATAATGTATAACTGTATACAGTAGACACAGTATCTGTATAATGTAGACATAGTATCTTTCTGCATGGGAAAGATACTGTATAATGTATAATGTAGACACAGTATAATGTAGACACAGTATCTTTCTGCATGGGGATCTAAAATAAACTGAGTAAAAAATATACCTTGAAACATGGACAGGCCCAACTCTGTATTATATGACACATCACTGATGTTTTAAAAACAATATCTTGAAATTGACAGTTACAATGACTACAAAACATTAACAGTCACTGACCTGAAACATGTTATAATCTGTTTTAAATATTTATCCCCAAGTATCATGGCGAATGAGAGTGGCTTGAAATTTCTCTCATAAGATTATCCATAAAATTGAATTAACTTTTATTTACAAACAACTTTCAGCTTTTCATCTCTTAACAGAATAATGTTGCGTTCTTTAATACTTTTTCATAAATCTGATAATTTAATACATTTCTATGAGATTCTCTCTTGTTCGACCAGTTTTCTCCCCTTGTCTGACTCTAAATGCTTTGAAAGGATGATTACTTACTTGCCCTTTTTGGACTGTTATAGTTTCAGTTCCCAAGTACATCTTAAGAGTGTAGATAGAGGCCGTAGGCTTCTTAACATGTCACATGCTGAGATAACTCTAGGAGTATCAGGAATAATCATAGAAATAGGGGAGAGAGGCCTTAACTGCTTCTTTGAAAAAATATCACCCGAATATCTGAAACTTCTTCCCGAAAAAATCAAGTCAGTGGAATTTGTCCCATTGGCTCAAACAAATTTTAAATTTTCCTGAAAATGTGAGATGGAATTTTAGTGGTGCAAAGAATATTTTGAATAAAACATCAATAAACATCAAAAGCTCATCATGTGTTCATCTATTAAAAATGATAGCAACTTACTACAGAATGGATATGTGCCACTAGTATCCAAAAACACGGTGGTCCTCGGGGCTGCTCTTTCCATCCTTCCTTTTAAAACATCTTTTAGGAGCTCAGCTTGATAACCTTGGATTTGAGAAATGAAACATGGAAATTTGGACTTTCCTTTAGTATCACAGAGAAATATTAGATCACCAAAGTAACTAAAGGATCAATGCATATAATTATCACCGTAATTGTCACGGATTTTTATAACTTTTATAACTTTAAAGGCATTTTTTTCAAATGATACATCATTCTATTCATAATAGTTATAATAATAACTCTTAATTTTAGGATTTGCTAACAAATCTGCTCCCTAAAAACCTTATCAGAGTTTAACATGCTCCAGATGACTGTAGTTCACTTACAGCAGCTTTTACTGTTATATTTTAATTTCACAATTTTATTTGTAATTCTTTTTTACATTCAACATAGTAATTTGATTGTATAAAATTTAAACTGCAATTTAGCTCCAGGAAGACAGTCCCCAATTCTCCTAAACCTATGTATGTACAGATATGGCATGCATCTATACACATTATATACACTATATATATTAATACAAAGAGTTTATACACTTTCTATTGTGTACATAATATATATCACATGTGTACATTAAATATGCTTTCCATATATAGTTCAGGTGTTTCCTGTATTTTTTTCCCACATTGCAACATTTAAATTTGGGATCTGAATGTAGTAGAAAGAATACTGAATTCATAATTTAAAGATTTAACTCTAGTTCTCACAAATACCCTGAAGCAATCCATCTTTCCACTCTTGTTCACAATTTTACCATGATATTAAACAAAAAAAGATGGAACCAGGAAAGCAATCTATAACATAATGTCTAAAGAAAAGTAATCCTACATAATGCTGTCTGAACAGGAGAGGTCTGTGAACAATACATACAAATTTGGCAAAGCCTGCGGAGTGCATGCACCTCCTAGCTATGCTCCATGTGCATTAGCTCACCAGAGAAAACAGAGCACAGGAGGTTTAATTTCCCACTTGCAATCGCTACCTATTCCTTCAGCCCCTTTGTCCTTGGAAGGATTTCTAGAAGATCCTGCTTTGATACTGAGATGTCTACACACTCATGACCTGCTTAAGTCTGGTAATTTCTTTGAAAAGTCCTGAACGATGGGCTCTGAGATTCTAGTCCTAGCATTCTATTTTTCTGTGGATTCTTTCTCATGTATAATTTCCTATTGGCAGGCTTTAGCTATCAGAAGCTACAATTCTTAACTGCTCTTACCAAGCTTTATTGATTTAAAAGGTGTAAACCATGTATGATCCATGTCTACTTGGCTAACTACGGTTCACACCTCTTCACTTGCTTCTAAGACTTTCCATTAAAAAAAAAAAAAAAAAAAAAAAAACTTGGAAAACAGAAAACTAGTTGGATGATAGTTAGATCCTTTGTGTATCAAGAACAGGGCTCACCACAAGGCCACCACATTTGCCCACTATATTGAGCATAGAAAGGCTGTTGGCCAAGTTCATTTCCTTAAATATCTGAAGTTATTTAGGAGACAAGAAAATATTTATTCTGGTTGTACCATATATTCACAGATAATTTTTTCCATAAAATGTTGACATATTAACAAGTAAATATAAAGCGTAGTTTAGCTTCCATCAGAAACTACAAACACAATGTTATTCAATTTCAAAAAGAATTAGCATAATTACAACCATGTCTCTTACCTAGCCAAGGACAAGAATTTTCCTTAAAGCTGTCACAGGCCACACATAAACTAGTCTTGTAATCTTTGTACGAATGACAAGGAAACGAAATAAAATTGCAGTTTGTTTCCAAAGATGCCATGAACAAATAAACTGCTCTCTGGTGGTCACATTTAATATATTGAAGTCCTAAGAATAAAAAAATGAGAAAACAACCTATAAATATATGAAGCCAAGTTCAAATAAATTAGAGAAAAATTATACATTAAATTCTCCTAAGCACTGAGTACCTTATGAATGTTAAAGTGTTGACTACAATACACAGTTTTATCTTGAGCCACTAAACAAATAGTATCATCAAAACTTTAGTTTAGTATGCTCTCTTTGTGTGATATTTATAATAAAATTTCTAATGGTTAACACAACTGAAATTTTAAATGTCAATAATTTAAAAAGCTCTACAGTCACACTGTATTATACTTAAGAATTATGATACACATCTTTCCCTCCTAATCCTTCACCTTTAATATTTCCACTCAATGTTAGAGATGATTATGAAACCAGGTGACATTAAAATTTTATAACCTCCTTTTCCTTTTGCAACCTCTCACATCCTCCTCCCTTTGACCAAACTTCTCTAGCTACAGTGGCCTTGGTCATGTGTCACTTGACCAGTTGCCACTGTGAACCTAAGAATATATATATTCTTTTTTTTTTTTTTTTGACTGAGATTCCACTACTTGGTTTTGTGTACTCCTCTTTCAGTCAGGTTTGAGTGCCTTTTCTCTGAAGATGTTCCAGGTGAGTGGCATTTTTTTTTATTATTAAATGATAGCTGTACACATTAATGCAAACATGGGGTACAGTGTAGTGTTTTCATATACAATTTGAAACATTTTCATCAAACTGGTTAACCTAGACTTTGTGTCATTTACTTAGATATTGTGTTAAAACATTTATACTCTAGTTCTAGAAAAGTTCACTTGTACCCTTGTTAGACAGACCATATAGGTGATCTTTCCAGTCACCCTCCCACCACCCATCCGCCCTTCTCCCCTCCCTTCCCCTACCCACTTCCCATATTCTTAGGCTAGAATTAAGTTGTATTTTTCATTTGAGAACTATAAATTAGTTTCATAATAGGGCTGGGTACATTGGATACTTTTGCTTCCATTCTTGTAATACTTTGCTAAGAAGAACATTTTCCAGTTCCATCCATGTAAACATGAAGGAGGCAAAGTCTCCATCTTTCTTTAGGGCTGCATGGTATTCCATGGTGTACATATACCACATTTGTTGATCCATTCGTGGATCAATGGGCACTTGGGCTTCTTC